TATAGTCTAGTCTATAGTCTAGTCTATAGTCTAGTCTATAGTCTAGTCTATAGTCTAGTCTATAGTCTAGTCTATAGTCTAGTCTAGTCTAGTCTACTAGTCTAGTCTATAGTCTAGTCTATAGTCTAGTCTATAGTCTAGTCTATAGTCTAGTCTATAGTCTAGTCTATAGTCTAATCTATAGTCTAGTCTATAGTCTAGTCTATAGTCTAGTCTATAGTCTAGTCTATAGTCTAGTCTATAGTCTAGTCTATAGTCTAGTCTATAGTCTAGTCTATAGTCTAGTCTATAGTCTAGTCTATAGTCTAGTCTATAGTCTAGTCTATAGTCTAGTCTATAGTCTAGTCTATAGTCTAGTCTATAGTCTAGTCTATAGTCTAGTCTATAGTCTAGTCTATAGTCTAGTCTATAGTCTAGTCTAGTCTAGTCTAGTCTAGTCTAGTCTAGTCTATAGTCTAGTCTAGTCTATAGTCTAGTCTATAGTCTAGTCTATAGTCTAGTCTATAGTCTAGTCTATAGTCTAGTCTATAGTCTAGTCTATAGTCTACTCTAAAGTATAGTCTATAGTCTAGTCTATAGTCTAGTCTATAGTATAGTCTATAGTATATTCTATAGTCTACTCTATAGTCTAGTCTATAGTCTAGTCTATAGTCTAGTCTATAGTATAGTCTATAGTATATTCTATAGTCTACTCTATAGTATAGTCTATAGTCTAATCTACTCTATAATCTAGTCTACAGTATAGTCTATACTCCAGTCTATATTCTGTGTATTCTATAATCTGGACTTAAGGTTTCTCCTTCCGTTTTTAATATTTATCATAATCGCGTGCTTTTCCAACTCTTCAGAGAATTTTTTTGTTTAGTTGTGTGGGCGTATAGTATAAAAGTTGTTGTTGATATTTTTGAATGACTTTTTTCTTTTTTTGTTTGTAGATTTTCACTAAATAGTCAGGTTTTTAGAGTTAGAATAACAACAAAAATTATTTTTACTTCCATATGCATTTTTTAAATACATTCGAGGATTATAACTGGAGGTGATAAAGAAAAAAAGCATATCTGGCATGTAGAAACATGAAAGTTTTTCGTGTGTTTTGTTAGGAAATGGCTGTTGTGTGCCTATAAGGAAAACCTCGCTGCTTCTTCACACGTTTTAATTAAAGTTTAAAAAAGTTGATTTTTTTATAGTCTCTTTTTCAATTTGCATATAAACAGGAAAAAAAACGTTAAAATTTTTTAAAAAAGATAGTATTATTGTTAAGGTAAAACAAATTTTAAGAACAACAAAATCAGGCCAAAGCAAGAAGGTTGTCAATAGTAAAGACTTTCCAAAATAATTATATTTAACGCTTTGTATTAAAAATCCAATTTGAAATTTTTACATAAAACTAGCCAGTACCATTTTCGAGTGATATTGGTATCCACCTTAATATTTCGACATATGGTACTTTTTGTGAGTATATCTTTTGGGAACTCAAGAACTAAAACACTAGACTAGACTAGACTATAGACTAGACTATAGACTAGACTATAGACTAGACTATAGACTAGACTATAGACTAGACTATAGACTAGACTATAGACTAGACTATAGACTAGACTATAGACTAGACTATAGACTAGACTATAGACTAGACTATAGACTAGACTATAGACTAGACTATAGACTAGACTATAGACTAGACTATAGACTAGACTATAGACTAGACTATAGACTAGACTATAGACTAGACTATAGACTAGACTATAGACTAGACTATAGACTAGACTATAGACTAGACTATAGACTAGACTATAGACTAGACTATAGACTAGACTATAGACTAGACTATAGACTAGACTATAGACTAGACTATAGACTAGACTATAGACTAGACTATAGACTAGACTATAGACTAGACTATAGACTAGACTATAGACTAGACTATAGACTAGACTATAGACTAGACTATAGACTAGACTATAGACTAGACTATAGACTAGACTATAGACTAGACTATAGACTAGACTATAGACTAGACTATAGACTAGACTAACTATAGACTAGACTATAGACTAGACTATAGACTAGCTATAGACTAGACTATAGACTAGACTATAGACTAGACTAGACTATAGACTAGACTATAAACTAGACTATAGACTAGACTCTAGACTATAGACTTGACTATAGACTTGACTATAGACTAGACTATAGACTAGACTATAGACTAGACTATAGAATAGGCTATATACTAGACTATAGACTAGACTATAGATTAGACTGTAGACTAAACGATAGGACTAGACTATAGACAAGACTATGGACTATACCATTATAATAGACTATGGACTAGACTACAGTCTAGGACTATGAACTATACCATAGAATAAACTATGGACTAGACTATAGACCAGGCTATATACTGGACTATAGGCCGAACTATATATAGACTGGACGATAGACTTCACTGGGTAGTTTAAGAACCACATTATTGTCAAGACTTCACATACGTATGTATATCGAGAAATAAAATACTATCACAAAAAACTAAAAAAATGGATTTAAGTTCACCATATTTTAATAAAACAAGAAAAATATGAGTTTTTTTTTTTTTGCAGTATTGCTTTTCCCAAAATATAAAATATGCAAAGCTCGTTTATAAACATTTTCACTTTTATTATATTCCAAATTGTTCTAAATAAAATTGTTGCTATATTGATTTTAACATGAAAACTTTTGCACTCTAAAATATGAAAATAGTTTTCCTTTCCTCCAGCTTCAATTTTAATTTTCCTAAATGCAGTTTTTTCATTAACCTTGTACGATTTTTGCGAATTTTGAGCACATTTTTTATTATTTAGTAAAAAACTTTATTCCCGCTGCTTTACAAATAAAACAGTTTTTATATGCAACACAACAATTTTTTGCAGTAAAAAGTGAAAATAAATTTTATAATTTTAAGTAGAATAAAGATAAGCATTTTTAAGCCACCAGTAAAGTGGACGTTTTCAAAAAAAAAAAAAAGGAAAGGAAAGAATAAACCAATAAAAATTGTATCGAATACTAAACTGAAAAAATGGAAAATAAAATAAAACTGAATTTATGGCAATTGCAATAAAGCCATATGCGACCTTTGGTTGTTTTGGGAAAATTATAAGTTACAGAGAAAGAAAAATTATTGAATATAAGAATTTGTGCCATAAATTGTTAAGCGGTATTAAAGGTAAAACAAAAAGGATATAAAAGGATACAATTATTATTTATGTACTAATCCAAGAAAGAAAGGCTCGAGTTACAAAAAAAAAACTTGAAGTCAGAGAACTATATAAGGAGACCATGAATATAAGTTATGGACTATAGTCCTGACTATAGAAGTTCTAGAGTATTGGCTATAATCAAGACTATAGTTCCAAGAATAGGGTTCAGACTAGAGACAAGACTACAGTCCAGACTATAAACCAGATGATAGTACAGACTTTAGACTAGAATATAGTATAGACTATAGACAAGACTATAATCCAGACTATAAATAAGACTATAGTCCAGACTAAAGACCAGACTATTGTTCAGACTATAGACAAGACTATAGTACATACTTTAGACAAGACCATAGTACAGACTATAGATAAGACTATAGACAAGACTATAGACAAGACTATAGACAAGACTATAGACAGGATTATAGACAAGACTATATACACGACTATATAGACCAGACTATAGTGTAGACTATAGACAAGGCTATAGTACAGACTATAGATAAGACTAAAGTCCAGACTATAGACAAGGGTATAGTACAGACTAGAGACAAGGCTATAGTACAGACTATAGTCCAGACTATAGACAAGACTATAGTCCAGACTATAGACAAGACTATAGTCCAGACTATAGACAAGACTATAGTCCAGACTATAGACAAGACTATAGTCCAGACTATAAGCAAGACTATAGTCCAGACTATAAGCAAGACTATAGTCCAGACTATAGACAAGACTATAGTCCAAACGATAGAGAAGACTATAGTCCAGATAATAGACAAAACTATAGTCCAGACTATAGACAAGACTATAGTCCAGACTATAGACAAGACTATAGTCCAGACTATGGACAAGACTATAGTCCAGACGATAGACAAGACTATAGTCCAGACTTTAGGCAAGACTATAGTCCAGACTATAGACAAGACTATAGTCCAGTCTATAGACAAGACTATAGTCCAGACTATCGACAACACTATAGTCCAGACTATAGACAATACTATAGCCCAGACTTTAGGTAAGACTATAGTCCAGACTATAGACAAGACTATAGTCCAGACTATAGACAAGACTATAGTCCAGACTATAGACAAGACTATAGTCCAGACTTTGGACAAGACTACAGTCCAGACTATAGGCAAAACTATAGTCCAGACTATATGCAAGACTATAGTCCAGACTATAGGCAAGACTATAGTCCAGATTATCGACAATACCATAGTCCAGACTATAGACAATATTATAGTCCAGACTATAGACAAGACTATAGTCCAGACTATAGACTAGACTATAGTCCAGACTATAGACTAGACTATAGTCCAGACTATAGACAAGACTATACACAAGACTATAGTTTAGAATATTGAAGAGAATATAGTCGAAACTATAGTCCAGATTATAGTCCAGACTACAATCCAGTCTATAGTCCAGACTATAATCCAGACTATAATCCAGACTATAATCCAGACTATAGTCCAGACTATAGTCCAGACTATAGTCCAGACTATAGTCCAGACTATAGTCCAGACTATAATCCAGACTATAGTCCAGATTATAGTCCGGTAACAGTCCAGACTATAGTCCAGACTATAGACAAGACTAAGCTATATTCAACAGTGTAGACTCTACATGATTTTAGTCAAGACTATATGCATAAAACTCGATTTTCGACATCTATAAAAAATGTTTGAGTGTGTTACAAATATTTCTGTAATCAATCGCTTAAAAATTACAATTAACTTTCAATTTTTTTTCTTCCAGTGTGTTTGTCGCTTTGATCGACAAGGTGCTCTCTGTGAAACCCCTATTGTCATTAAAAATGCTGCCTTCTCCGGTGATTCATATGTGTCACATCGCATCCACAAGGATATACCACATCATGATACATTGGATACAGTGTTGCCAATGCATGTTCAACTTAAAGTACGCACACGTGCCACCAATGGTCTCATAATGTTAGCTGCCGCACAGGGCACTAAGGGCGGTCATTATATGGCATTATTTTTGCAAAAAGGTCTGTTGCAATTCCAATTTTCATGTGGCTTACAGACAATGCTGTTAAGTGAACTTGAGACTCCAGTGAATACAGGCCATGAGATAACAATACGTGCAGAGTAAGTAACAAATTATAGATATTTCTTTGTTTGTAAACTAAATACTTGTACAAGCACTTTGTATTATATTTATATATTTTATTTTTACCAGAGTTAGTTAGGGGCAAAGTATTGAAAAAGCCAAAAAAGAAAAAAAACAAAAATGTGTCTATTTTTCTTTACTTTATTTGGCCAAACAAATAACCAGCACAACCTTAAAAAACAAACTATAGTTATTTTTGTTATTTTTTCTATTATCCAAAAACATTTGTATGTATTAGAAGAGTTTGAATTTTTTGCAATTTACCCATATTGCCGCACACAGTTGTGTGGCAAGTGCCATTAACACTTTTACATTCTCTAATGACTATCATAAATTTAAAGATTTTTTGTTTCATCTTGCCACAGTGGGACATTTTCATTTAATCCGTTTGATAGCTGCTATTTATTTATCTAATGAACACTTTTTCATAGGAGATTATTTTTCTTAGAATGAATATATATTTAGAACTAAATATTGATTCATTAAATAGTAAGAAGTACCGTGCCACTATCAAGCCAAATGACAAAGTATAGGCAATACATAGACCGGCTGATATTAGAGTTTATATTTGAGACTATAATGTATAATTTAGTACATAATATAGGCTAAGCAAAAGACTAGACTAAGACTAGACTATAGACTAGACTATAGACTAGACTATAGACTAGACTATAGACTAGACTATAGACTAGACTATAGACTAGACTATAGACTAGACTATAGACTAGACTATAGACTAGACTATAGACTAGACTATAGACTAGACTATAGACTAGACTATAGACTAGACTATAGACTAGACTATAGACTAGACTATAGACTAGACTATAGACTAGACTATAGACTAGACTATAGACTAGACTATAGCCTAGACTATAGACTAGACTATAGACTAGACTATAGACTAGACTATAGACTAGACTATAGACTAGACTATAGACTAGACTATAGACTAGACTATAGACTAGACTATAGACTAGACTATAGACTAGACTATAGACTAGACTATAGACTAGACTATAGACTAGACTATAGACTAGACTATAGACTAGACTATAGACTAGACTATACTAGACTATAGACTAGACTATAGACTAGACTATAGACTAGACTATAGACTAGACTATAGACTAGACTATAGACTAGACTATAGACTAGACTATAGACTAGACTATAGACTAGACTATAGACTAGACTATAGACTAGACTATAGACTAGACTATAGACTAGACTATAGACTAGACTATAGACTAGACTATAGACTAGACTATAGACTAGACTATAGACTAGACTATAGACTAGACTATAGACTAGACTATAGACTAGACTATAGACTAGACTATAGACTAGACTATAGGACTAGACTAGACTAGACTATAGACTAGACTATAGACTAGACTATAGACTAGACTATAGACTAGACTATAGACTAGACTAGACTAGACTAGACTATAGACTAGACTATAGACTAGACTATAGACTAGACTATAGACTAGACTAGACTATAGACTATAGACTATAGACTAGACTAGACTAGACTAGACTAGACTAGACTAGACTAGACTAGACTAGACTAGACTAGACTAGACTAGACTAGACTAGACTATAGACTAGACTAGACTAGACTAGACTATAGACTAGACTATAGACTAGACTATAGACTAGACTATAGACTAGACTATAGACTAGACTATAGACTAGACTATGACTATGACTATAGACTAGACTATAGACTAGACTATAGACTAGACTATAGACTAGACTATAGACTAGACTATAGACTAGACTATAGACTAGACTATAGACTAGACTATAGACTAGACTATTAGACTAGATATAGACTAGACTATAGACTAGACTATAGACTAGACTATAGACTAGACTATAGACTAGACTATAGACTAGGACTATAGACTAGACTATAGACTAGACTATAGACTAGACTATAGACTAGACTATAGACTAGACTATAGACTAGACTATAGACTAGACTATAGACTAGACTATAGACTAGACTATAGACTAGGACTATAGGACTAGACTATAGACTAGACCTATAGACTAGACTATAGACTAGACTATAGACTAGACTATAGACTAGACTATAGACTAGACTAAGACTAGACTATAGACTAGACTATAGACTAGACTATAGACTAGACTATAGACTAGACTAGACTAGACTATAGACTAGACTATAGACTAGACTATAGACTAGACTATAGACTAGACTATAGACTAGACTATAGACTAGACTTAGACTAGACTATAGACTAGAACTAGTAGACTAGACTATAGACTAGACTATAGACTAGACTAGAGACTAGACTATAGACTAACTATAGACTAGACTATAGACTAGACGATAGACTAGACTATAGACTAGACTATAGACTACTTAGAACTACGAAGACTAGACCTATAGACCTAGACTATAGAACTAGACTATAGACTAGAACTATAGACTAGACCTATAGACTATACTTATAGACTAGACCTATAGACTAGACTATAGACTAGACCCCCCACACCCCCCTTTAACATAGACTAGACGATAGACTAGACTAATAGACCTAAGCTATAGACTAGACTATCAGACTAGACTATAGACTAGACTATAGACCTAGACTCATAGACTAGACTATAGAACTAGAACTATAGACTAGACTATAGACTAGACTATAGACTAGACCATAAGACTAGACTAATAGACTAGACTAATAGAACTAGACTATAGACGAGAACTATAGACTAGACTAGAGACTTAGACCTATAGACTAGAACTATAGACTAACTTATAGACTAGACTATAGACTAGACTATAGACTAGACTATAGACTATAGACTATACTATATACTAGACTATAGACTAGACTATAGACTAGACTATAGAGACTATAGACTAGACTATAGACTAGACTATAGACTAGACTATAGACTAGACTATAGACTAGACTATAGACTAGACTATAGACTAGACTATAGACTAGACTATAGACTAGACTATAGACTAGACTATAGACTAGACTATAGACTAGACTATAGACTAGACTATAGACTAGACTATAGACTAGACTATAGACTAGACTATAGACTAGATATAGACTAGACTAGACTAGACTATAGACTAGACTATAGACTAGACTATAGACTAGACTATAGACTAGACTATAGACTAGACTATAGACTAGACTATAGACTAGACTATAGACTAGACTATAGACTAGACTATAGACTAGACTATAGACTAGACTATAGACTAGACTATAGACTAGACTATAGACTAGACTATAGACTAGACTATAGACTAGACTATAAGACTAGACTATAGACTAGACTATAGACTAGACTATAGACTAGACTATAGACTAGACTATAGACTAGACTATAGACTAGACTATGACTAGACTATAGACCTAGACTATAGACTAGACTAGACTATAGACTAGACTATAGACTAGACTATAGACTAGACTATAGACGAGACTCTAGATTTAACTATATGCTATAGTTCAGACTATAGACCAGGTTAGAACTAATTTTAGTAACTAATATAAATTTTTAGTATATCTCATAATTTTAGTTCCACTGTAAACCAATCTCTAAAACCAATTTCTCTTGGTGGACACAGTAGGTTTATTTTACAAAGAGAACATTTGTTGTCGAAAAAGTTTTTAACTATAATGTTTGTTCCTACTTTGATTTTATAAAAAAAATGTGTTTGTTTGTTGGTTGACTGTTTTTCCTTTGGTTTTGTGTCTTTGGACTTTTGGACAAGTTAGTAATTACCAAAGATAAATTAATTTCTATTTTACGTGTAAAACATAAATTTTCTGTGTGTATTTAATACTGTTTTTTTTAGAAATTTTATAAATTGGTTTCATCCAGACTGTTTAAAAGCTAAGCAATTTAATCAAAAATAAATTTTTCTTTTCCAAATTATAAATAAGCCAGCCCTTAAGGAAAAGTAAAGTATATCGAGATTAAATTTGTCTACAAAAGGATGGACATGATAAGTAGCATAATTTATGGGCAAAAAAATATTAAGTTTTTTGGAAAAAAAAACAATTGCGTGTCATGTTTAATTAGCAATATCTTTAACAATAGCCTTGAAAATGCTAAGCAACTCACGCGAATGAAATAGAAAAATAATACAAAAAACCAAATCACCAGTTTGCCCTTCCTACTTAAACTTAGGTTTTTAAACGATATATACCTAATAAAATTATCGTTTCCAGAAATTGACATTTAAGCATGTGTTAGTTGACTTTATACTTGGTTTGAGTTTTTCGTTATTTGACCAAAGGACTTGTTATTTAAATGGTCATAAACATTGGTCAATACTTAATTCAAAATGTTGGTAATAATGACAATGGCGCCCAAAGTGTTTTGCGGACATCAACAATCATGTTTTGGTTTTGTTGTCGTTAGTGTTGTTGTAGTTGCCATTACTATTGTTTATTTTTTTAGAACGCTTTCGAGTCAAAACAACCACATTATCAGCTATTTTAACCAAACAGCTGGGTTTTAAGGTTGTTGTTTGTTTAGTACAATGATTTCTGTTGGCCATTTCAGTTTTTTTATTTTGCATTTTGGCAGGCGTGTTAGTGTTAAAATACACATTATTTGTTGTTGTAGCCATTACTGGTGGTTTTTAGTCGATAATCAACCATAATAGGAGAAAGACCGAACAAAACCAAAATAAACATTTGCTCACAATTAGTCTCCTGGGAAATGTGTTGTGGGGAGTAAGGCAAAATCATCATAAAACTATCAATATTGGGGTGGAAGGGATTCAGTTTAGTTTAAAACAAATGCTCGAATAACAAATCTTAAACAATATAAATGCAAAATTATAATAGAGGCATCCAGAACATATTAAAACTTAAAATAGTGATATAACTCTATGTTGTACCTGGATCGAAGAAAAACTAACTTCGGTTCTAGTTCAGTTCTAGTTCAGTTCTAGTTCAGTTCT